CCCAGCTCGCGGGGGCTGCCAGAAACGGAAGCCGGCCGTCGGCGTTAACAACTTCCAGCAGAACGGCCGCTTAAGAAACCCCTCCGCCGCGCTCGAGGCCTCATTCCGCCGCAACGACGGACAAAAACGTCGTCCTAACGATCTTCCGGGGCGTGGGATTAACGAACTGCTTTCCCCTCGGAAAGCAAGCCGGCAGGCTCGCCCTGCCGCGCCGCTCCTCTGCCGTCGCCAGGTCTCCAGCTCAACTCCCTCCGCCCGAGCGAAGGCAAGGAGCCCCCGGAGAATCACGGAACCGCCAAGGTGGGAAAAGGCCTCCGAGATCATCGGGTCCAACCGTCAACCCAACACCGCCGTGCCGGCTAAACCGCGTCCCTGAGCGCCGCATCTACGCGTCTTTTAAATATTCCGGGGATGGAAGTATCCAGACCCGAGAACAAAAGAGGACCCGCGCGCCGCCGGACGTACCTAAGGTGGTGGGTTTTATCAACTCGTCGTAAACGTCGTAGAAGGGCAGCCTCTTCATCTTGACGTCCGGGTGGACGGGGTGGACGGGGGGCGGCAAGCGCGGAACGTCCGTCTCGTGCTTGGGTCCCAGGAGAGGCGCCGGCGGCAGCAGAGCCGCCGGCACCGCCGGGGGGGCCTGGTGTAAGACGGCGCCCGGCGTCAGGGCGGCGGCCGAGGGCAGCTGCCCCGCCTGAACGTGGAGCATCGACAGGTCCGAAGGGGTTAAGATCTTCCTCGGGAACCTCCGCCGGTAGAGCTCTTTAATTTTCATCTGGACGGCCGGGCTGCAGCCGGGTTTCAGCAGCTGTAACGCCTTCGCGAGGAGCTCGTGCTTCCTTCCGCTCTTGTTCCTTCCAGCAAAGCCCAGGAGGACTTGTAATTCCGACACCCTAAAGCTCATAACCATGTGCTGCAAGAAAAGAGAAGAGAACGGCCGCCGCTAACAACCCCCCGCCCGGGCGCGACCCAAAACCGAGCCGCGGGTTCCCGAAGGAAGGCGGCGGAGGCCTTAAAAAGAGACGCCGCCACGTCCGAAGTTCCCCTCGCCGTCACCGGCAGAACCGTAACCGGTTAGCCTTCAGGACTCTGGTCCCAAAACGCGGGTTTGCCGTTTCTTTTTTTCTTTTTTTTCCCTTTTTCGGACCTGGAAACGCAGGCGGTGGCGCTCGCTTCCCCATTCGGCGGG